GGCCTCCCAAAGTGCTGGGATTACAGGCTTGAGCCACCGCGCCCGGCCGGGACTCCTCTTTTATGCTGTGTATGAAACTGAAGTGCCTCCAAGCTTCCTACTGAACCTCAACTCATAAAGAATAAACTTTGTTCATTCTACTGACTTATGAAGCGAGACCCATTTCCTGGGATTTATATAAGGAGAATCAGGCTGGGCGCAGTGGCTCACACCTACAATCCCAGTACTTTGGGAGGCCAAGGCAGGTGGATCATTTAAGGCTGGGAGTTTGAGACCAGCCTGGCCAACATGGTGAAACTCCATCCCTACTGAAAAAACAAAAATCAGGCCAGGGCTCACGCCCATAATCCCAGCACTTTGGGAGGCTGAGGTGGGCGGATCACCTGAGGTTAGGAGTTCGAGATCAGCCTGGCCAACATGGAGAAAGCCCGTCTCTACTAAATAAACAAAAAAATTAGCCGGGCGCTATGGCAGTTGCCTATAATCCCAGCTACTCAGGAGGCTAAAGCAAGAGAATTGCTTAAACCTGGGAGTCAGAGGTTGCAGTAGCTGAGAATGCGCCATTGTACTCCAGCTTGGGTGACAGAGTGGGACTCTGTCTCAAAAAAAAAATAAAATAAAATAAAAAAATAAAAAAATTAGCTGGTTGTGGTGGTGTGTGCCTGTAATCCCAGCTACCTGGGTGATGAGAATTACCTGAACCCAGGAGGTGGAGGCTGCCATGAGTGGAGATTGCACCACTGCACTCCAGCCTCCGTGACAGAGAGACCCTGTCTCACACAACAGCCACCACCAACACCACACAAACAAGAAAACAGAATCATTCTCATCTCAGAACGAAATATCTATGGCCATACTGCTTCCCATATAATGAAACCAGGAAAAACAATGGATTAATCCCAAACCACAGCTCCAGGGAAAGTAAGGATGTGGAAGCAAGGGCACCTCACCTGACTCACTGTGGGCTACCACCACTCCCAGCTCGTTTTCGGCAGTGGTTAGCAGGTAGTTGGACTGTGCGTCACCTAGGGAGATCTAGTCACGTAACGCTGGTGAAGGAAAATGAGGAGTTAGAAGTCTTCCTCCCACCATAGCCACCTGAATTGTTTTTCTACTTCCGTCTCTTGTTTTTTTTTTGTTTTCAGATGGAGTCTCACTCTGTTATCCAGGCTGGAGTGCAGTGGTGCGATCTTAGCTCACTGCAACCTCTGCCTCCTGGGTTCAAACGATTCTCCTGCCTCAGCTTCCCAAGTAGCTGGGATTACACGTATGCGCCACCATGCCCAGCTAATTTTTGTATTTTTAGTAGAGACAGGGTTTCACTATGTTGGCCAGGCTGGTCTCCAACTCCGAACTCCTGACCTCAGGTGATCCACCCAACTCGGCCTCCCAAAGTGCTGGGATTATAGGTGTGAGCCACCACACCCAGCCTCCATCTCTTCTTTTGACAAAGGACCAGAATTCTGCTGGAAATAAAGGATACCACTTTGGCCAAGACAATGTCACCTGGGCGGAAACTCTTATAAATTTCAACCTGTAAAGAAAGAAGAGGAATGGTAAGTGAAAGCTCTAGACTGGGTCTACATGAAACTGTGAACCCCTCTGGTAAAGCCAGTCTACTTTCTAACCCTAGAGGGTAAAAGCATCATTACTCAGGTAGTCAACAACTTTTAATTGCTTCTATAGTATTATCATACAAATGAAAGTCTGTTTTTTTTTTTTTTTTTTCTGAGACAGAGTTTTTCTCTCTTGCCCAGGCTGGAGTGCAGCAGTGCGATCTCGGCTCACTGCAACTTCTGCCTCCCAGGTTCAAGCAATTCTCATGCCTCAGCCTCCTGAGTAGCTGGGATTACAGGCATGTACCACCACGCCCTGCTAAATTTTATAATTTTAGTAGAGACAGGGTTTTACTATGTTGGTCAGGCTGGTCTTGAACTCCTGACCTCATGATCCACCCACCTCGGCCTCCCAAAGTGCTGGGATTACAGGTATGAGCCACTGTGCCTGCCCCCAATCCTCACTTTTTTTTTTTTTAAGAGGTGGGATCTTGCTGTTTCACCCAGGCCGGAGTGCAGTGGCGCAATGGTAGCTCATTGCAGCCTATGACTCCTGGACCAAGGGATCCTCCTGCCTCAGCCTACCAAGTAGCTAGGACTACAGGTGCATGCCACCACATAACCTCAAACACCTCAGCTCAAGCAATCCTCCAGCCTCATCCCCCCAACCAGCTAGGACTACAGGCATGAGCCACCATGCCCAGCTAGTTTTTAATTTTTATACTCTGATGCTGATCTTTTTGTAGAGATGGGGTCTTGTTATGTTGCCAGGGCTGGTCTTGAAGTCCTGGACTCAAGTGATCCTTCACCCTCAGCATCCCAAAGTACTGGGATTACAGGTGTGTGCCACCATGCCTGGCCTGAGATAATACTTTTAAAGGATTAAGATTCATAAAGCCATTAAAAAAAAAAAAAAAAAAAGAAAGAACCAACCAACAACCTTGTCTTTTTCAGTTGCTCGGACATCTTCCTTGCTATAAAAAAAGAATTAACATAAAGATTAATTATCTGTGAGAAAGAATTTGTTTTTTCTTGTTCATTTGTTTGTTTTTTGAAACTGAGTCTCCCTCTGTCACCCAGGCTGGAGTGCAGTGGCGTGATCTCAGTTCACTGCAACCTCCGCCTCCCAGGTTCAAGAGATTCTTCTCCTCAGCCGAGTAGCTGGTATTACAGGTGTGCGCCACCACACCTGGCTAAATTTTGTATTTTCAGTAGAGATGGGGTTTCTCCAAGTTGGCCAGGCTGGTCTCAAACTTCTGACCTCAGGAGATCCACCTGCCTCAGCTTCCCAAAGTGCAGGAATTACAGGCATGAGTCACCTTGACCAGCCTGTGAGAAAGAACTTTCCTGTAGATTTCTAGTAAATAAAGAGCTATAAGAACAGACAACAAGTCTAATTGGGACTCAGCTGCTACCCAGAGGAGCAGGGTGGAGCAGCAGTATCAATACCTCAGATTAGATAAACAACGATCAGATTTGGCAAGAAAGGATAAGGAGTTTCACTGCCTCAGGGCATAAACAGAAGCACTAAAGCAAGGGTCTCCAACTTGTGGTGGGTCTGTGGTCTGTTAGGAACCAGGCTGCACAGAAGGAGGTGAGTGGCAGGCAAGCGACAGAAGCTTTATCTGTATTTATAGCTGCTCCCCAATCGCTTACATTACTGCCTGAGCTCCACCTCCTGTCAGATCAAAGCAGGCATTAGATTCTTATAGAAGTGTGAACCCTATTGTGCCTATGAGGGAGCTAGGCTTCCCTCTCCTTATGAGAATCTAATGCCTGATAATCTGTCACTGTCTCCTGTCACCCCCAGATAAGACTGTCTAGTTGCAGGGAAACAAACTCAGGGCTCCCACTGATTCTATATTATGGTGAGTTGTATAGTGACTTCATTATATATTTCAGTGTAATAATAATAGAAATAACATGCACAATAAACATAATGCACTGGAATTATCCTGCAACCACCCCCACCATGGTCTGTGGAAAAACTGTCTTCCAAGAAACTGGTCCCTGGTGCCAAAAAAGTTGAGGACTGCGTCACTACAGAACCACATCAAATCCTGAGGCTGGAAAGGGCCTCAAAAGTTAGATTATCTGGCTGGCAAGAAATGTTTGTCCTTTCTCAAAGAAGCCACAGGAAATCACCATCTTACCCACAAATCTTTTCAATGTTTTAGAACCTCTGAGTTCAATCAATATTAAATTTTAAAAAAAAGTACTTCCTAAAATGCCTTCTACTTTGGTTTGAGTCATCCTGACACTGCTAAACTTCAGCTTCACTCAATTCCTTTTGCTTTACATTTATTTATTTACTTAGTGATTGACTGAGACAGGGTTCACTTTGTCACCCAGACTGGAGTGCAGCTCACTTCCTGCAACCTCTGCCTCCCAGGCTCAAGTGATCTTCGCACCTCAGCCCCACAAGTAGCTGGGATTATAGGCGCATACCACCATGCCCAGCTAATATATATATATATATTTTTTGAGATGGAGTCTTGCTCTGTCACCAGGCTGGAGTGCAGTGGTGTAATCTCAGCTCACTGCAACTTCTGCCTCCTGGGTTCAAGTGATTCTCCTGCCTCAGCTTCCCAAATAGCTGGGACTACAGGTGTGCACCACCATGCAAGGCTAATTTTTGTATTTTTAGTAGAGACGGGGTTTCACCATATTGGCCAGGCTGGTCCAGAACTCCTGACCTTGTGATCTGCCTGCCTTGGCCTCCCAAAGTGCTGGGATTACAGGTGTGAGCCACTGCGCTGGGATAATTTTTGTATTTTTTATAGAGAGGGGGTTTCACCATGTTGGCTAGGCTGGTCTCAAACTCCTGATCTGAAGAGATCCACCTGCCTTGACTTCCCAAAGTGCTAGGATTACAGGCGTGAGCCACTGTGCCCAGCCTTTGCTTTGCTTTTAAAGCCTCTCTTAACATTTTCCTTTTGTCCTAGATCATCTACATATTTGTTGGATATTACTGAGAGAGAATCAAAACACAAAGAAAGAAAAATAGGCAAGAGAAGAACAGGAATTGTACCTGTTCCTCAAAATTCTAGTTTCCCAGTCTATCCTAATCTCATTCCAGTTGCTAAGGCATATGTGACAAGGATACTTCTCACCGGATAGTTCCTCGAAAAGAGTTCTTAAGTGGTGTGGACCCCACATACAGGATGTGTACTTTGGCAAAGCGTGAATTGATGCTGGAGACCTGTAGAAGAGAGAAACGATCAGCATCAGAGTATAAGCAGTTGCCAGCTCAAGGAGGCAGCAATAAACTGGGAATTACTAGGACTTTAGTGCAAGTAACCCTACTAAGTACAGAATTTAAGACAAGTTAAATCCTACTTCTCTCTGCATAAGTGATACATGTAAAGGGGAGTAAGAGTCACTTTGGCCACCTGATAGATATTAAATAAAAAAAAAAAGTACTTCCTAAAATGCCTTCTATTTTGGTTTGAGTCATCCTGACACTACTAAACTTCAGCTTCACTCTTTTTACTTTAATTAATTAATTTAGTTTTTATGACAGGATTTCACTCTGTCACCTAGGCTGGTGTGTAGTGGTGCAATCTCAGCTCACTGCAACTGATAATTACTATGGGAATCAAATAATACAGTGTTTTTTTTTTTTTTTTTAATCTTCTCATAACTTGCCCTTCAAAGAGGTATAGATTTTTTTTTTTTTTTTAAGACGGAGTTTCACCATGTTGGTCAGGCTGGTCTTGAACTCCCGACCTCAGGTGATCCGCCTGCCTTGGCCTCCAAAGTGCTTGGATTACAGGCTAACATTAAAACAAAAACAGAAACAAAAAAACAGGCTCATCCCTGTAATCCCAGCACTTTGGGAGGCCAAGGTGGGCGGATCACTTGAGGCCGAGTTCTGGCCAACATGGTAAAACCCCATCTATACGCACGCCTGTAATCCCAGCTAATGGGGAGGCAGAGGCAGGAGAATTGCCTGAACCCAAGAGGTGGAGGCTGCAGTGAGCTGAGATCACACCACTGCACTCTAGCCTGGGCAACAGAGCAAGACCCTGTCTCAAAAAAAAAAAAAAAAAAAAAAGAAAAAAATCAAATCCAGGAATGCCAGAAAATAAAGTCTTTTGCTTCTCTTCAGAAAAAGGTCTCAGCTTAAGCTGTTCAAAAATAGGCCTCCTAATCATCCTCTGGCATCCTGTTTTCCAGACACAGGTAGAAACTATATATTCTAGGAATCAACCGAGTGAAGGAACTACACATGCCTGAACTTGGCTGCCTTGCTTATTATCCTAGAAACGTGTAGACCAGCACAGTCCAGTAAAACTTTCTGTCATGATGGAAAAGTCATGTGCTGACCAGTACAGCAGCCATTAGCCTCAAGTGGCTACTGAGTACTTGAAATGTGGTTAATGTGACTAAGGAAATGAATTTTTTTTTTTTTTTTTTTTGAGAGACAGGGTCTTGCCCTGTCACCCAGGCTGAAGCAATCATGGCTCACTGCAGCTTCAACCCCCTGGGCTCAAGCGATCCTCCTGCCCCAGCCTCCCAAGTAGTTAGGACCACAGGCATGTGCTACCATGCCTGACTAATTTTTGATTCTTTTTGTAGAGATGAGATTTCACTATGTTTCCCAGGATAGTCTTGAACTCTGGGCTGAAGCAATCCTCCTGCCTTGGCCTCTGAAAGTTCTAGAATTCCAGCATGAGCCACTGCACCCAGCCAGAAATAAATTTTTAATACTGTTTAAGTAGCCATATGTAGCTTGTGGCTATCATACTGGACACTGCAGTTCTAGCATGATCATAATTTCAGTATTGAATGGGCATTCAAAGCATGGAGGTTAGGACCGTCTTACCTTACAGGTTACAATAGCTCCCACATCTGGCAGTAATTGGGACTCTGTTTCTCTCATTACAGACACCACAGGAAGCTACAGAGGGAACAACAAAAAACTGAAATGTCCTGGCTAACTCTTGGGTCAAGACATTTGTGGTTTGAGAGTAACATAGGAATGCCTTAGTACACAGTTGAGAGTTGGAGTACGGATTCATTTATAGCCCAGAGCAGAAGGCCTTAGAAACTTTAGGAAACAGTAGGACCAAGAGGCTACAGAAAGCTGCTAAGACATAAATCTCACTATTCTAGATGAGTTCTAGTATGTTTTTTGGTGATTCTCTTGGACTTTCTTGGTATACAACTATATTGCCTGTAATCATGGACAATTTTTTTCTTTTTTTTTTGAGATGGAGTTTCACTCTCGTTGCCCAGGCTGGAGTACAGTGGCACGATCTCGGCTCACTGCCACCTCCGCCTCCTGAGTACAAGTGATTCTCCTGCCTCAGCCTCCCAAGTAGCTGGGATTACGGGTGCCTGCCACCACGCCCAGCTAATTTTTTGGATTTTTAACAGAGACAGGGTTTTACCATGTTGACCAGGCTAGTCACAAACTCCTGACTTCAGGTGATCCACCTGCCTGGCCTCTCAAAGTGCTGGGATTACAGGAGTGAGCCACCACACCCAGCCGACAATTTTGCTCTTTCCACGAAAGTTATACTGCTTCTTTCTGTTTATTTTATTGCAAAGGCTGAAATTTCCACAAAAATGTTACATAATAGTGGCCATGCTTGTTTTCTTCTATTTTAAGGGAATAGCTGCAGTTGCTCTTTGAGCATGGTATTGGCTGTTGGTATAAGACAGATATATATATACATATTTTTTTTTATTTGAAAGATGGGGTTTCACCATGATGGCCAGGCTGGTCTTGAACTCCTGACCTCAGGTGATCCACCCACCTCGGCCTCCCAAAGTGCTAGGATTACAGGCGTGAGCCACCGCGCCCGGCCCAAGACAGATATTTTGAACCTCATCTTTTATCAATCTCTCCCTTGCTCATGATGCTTCAGCTCTCCTGGCCTTCTTTCAGTTTCCCTGACTTACTAAATTCTTCCCACTTTTGGATCTCTCTTCAACCATTCTTTCTGCCAGAACTACACTCTCTCCACCCACCCAACTCTTACTTACTCTTTAGATGATTCAGCTTAAATGTCACTTCCGCTGACTAGGGTGGGTTTGGTTGTTACATGTTTTCAAGGTGCCCTGTATTATTCTTTTAAGCAGTCACCAAATATGTAACCATATACAATTTGAGCATTTATTTTAAATTTGTGTCTGTGTCCTTTGATAGCAGAAACCAAGTCATCGCTGTGCCTGACACATGAAAACACTCAGATGATATCTGTGAAGTGAAGAAATTCAGGACTGCTAAGGACATTCCCAAGAATGACTGAATAGAAAGCCCCTTGAATCAGACAGCTTAAATTAATTACTCAAAGCAGAATCAAGGTCTAGTTAGCTAGAACCTATGTGTTCTAATTCTGAATCCTCTTTCTATTGTGCTCCTTCAAATATTGCTTATGCGATCCTGAGCTAATCCTAGATCAAATTCTAAAACTAGAAAGTTTGGTATTACACATTCAACAAACATTTATTGAGGAGCTGCCTTGTGCTAGATACTGAATGTATGGTGGTAGGGGCTGCTTTCATGGTACTTAGATTCAAGCATTGGAGAAGTCTGGTGGGAATTATATACCGAGTGTCTAATCATATGCTGACATAAATGCTTGGAATAAAAGGAACAGAGGTCTTTGTGAGTCTTAAAGAAAACAAACAAAAACAAAACACCCCACAAAACCCCTTTCCTCAATTAGTGGGTCCAGAAGGGCTTCTCTGAGAAGTTGATAGTACAGAAGTTAACTAAAGGAGGTAGGAATTAAATGGGCATAGGAAGACAGAAGCGTTCCAGATAGATGGCATGTTACAAAGGCTCTGTAGCAGGAGAAAGCTTGGCGCATTAGCGACATTGAGAGAAGCTAGTATGTTATAAATTTTTTAAAAAGGGCAAGCAGAGACTGTGATTATAAATTTTAAAAACAAAAAAAAGACAGTATGACTAGATTGCGTCAGTGAGGTGGACGTAGTGGCGCAAGATAAAGCCGGAGAGATAAGCGACATTCATACGGTATGAAACTCACTGCTAGGCTGGGCTGGGTTACTGAATTCACATCTGCTTTTGTCCCAACCTCCCTCCCCGAGGGTCAGCAGCACAAGCAAGCGAGATCAATACAACTAGTTTGTGGTGTCTCAGTGCACAACAGCGGCGGTCACGGCTAGAAGAAACTAAGACCAACATTGTACGGGTGAAGCGCTAAAGACGCGTCCGCAGTGCCCATGCCTAAGAACTGGAACTTAATGAAAGCCTAAGAGAAAACAGAGAGAGGAGATGGCAAGCCGCTCCCTTTACCGCGCCGTTCTCGCTGCTCTTCATCAGACAACCGGCAAGCGACGAAAAGATGTAACCGTGGCGGGTGTAGGTGCCACTGCCCGGGCTGCCCTCCTCCAAGTTACACAGACGTTCGCCTGCAGAAAAAATGCTTTATCAGTCACTGGCCCCCAGAAGCTGTAGACCGTCCAGCCTTCCAGCTTTGACCTCTATCCAGGACTCTGTACGGGAAGCGCTCACTTACCGGGAATGCAGTATCTGACGGGTGGCGCCATGATTGCCGCTGTCCCAAAATCCGGATGGAAACGAAGTCGACTTCGCATTGGCCAAACCCAGGCACAGTTCCGCAGTAAGACTTGCGTCAATTGGTGTTCTTTATCACGTGATCTGTAGGCGCACCTCCTTGCGGGTAAACTCAATTTCCCAGATTACCCCGGGACAAATCCGGGGGCGGAACTAAAGAGCTCCGCACTTGCGACTGCGCGTGTGGTTGAGGATGGGCTGGCGGCGGGTCCGGTTGCGCTGGCTGGCGCTGCGGGCTGCGGGCCATGATGGGTTGGATTGAGCCCGGCCCGGCCGGGGCGCCGAGTCAGAGGGGGTGGCAGTGAGCGGCGGCAGAGGCTGCGGGGCTCGGTTTGGCTGACTGGGGAGTCGGCAGGCGGCAGGTAAGGGCGAAGCCTCGGCCCTTGCTCCCCATCCTAGTCCCTTTTTCTGGGTCGGGCACTGCCCTGGGGCCTTGCGTCCGGTTTCCTGCTCTCTCCGCGCCCCGCCCTGTGGGGCCGTGCCCTCCTCCGCCGGAGCACACCTTCCGAGCAACCGTTAGGCGTAGAGCAGGAAGGAAGGAGGTCAAGCGACCCAACTCCTCCATTTCACACATAGGGAACCTCAGATTCAGAGACAGGGTTTGGCTTGTCCAAAATCTTGAAGATAGCTAAGATAAGAGCCCAAACTGGAAGCCACGGTTTTTGACTTGCAGTCCGTCGCAGTTTCACCTCGTGGCTGTCATTGAGAAATAAAACCTTTTCCTGTTTTTTTTTTTTTTAAATATAGTCTCGCTCTGTTGCCAGGCTGGAGTGTAGTGGTGTGATCTTGGCTCACTGCAATCTACGCCCCCTGGGTTCAAGCAGTTCTCCTGCCTCAGCCTCCCGAGCAGCTGGGATTACAGGCGCGTTTTGTACTTAGGATAGAGACAGGGTTTCACCTTGTTGGCCAGGCTGGTCCCGAACTCTTGACCTCAGGTGATCCACCCGCCTCGGCCTCCCAAGGTGTTAGGATAACAGGCGTGAGCCACCGCTCCTGGCCCTTTTCCCGGTTTTTTAAACTGCAGCTTTCAGTCCTGCGTTCCGATCCTCTTCGCGGCCCCCCATCCCTACTTCAGTGAGCTTTCTCAGGTTGAAAAAGTCAAGCTCTGGTTGTGTGGGCCCCTCATGAAAAGACGAGCAGCCCGAAAATAAAGTTGCTATTCTTTTTATTCTCAGCGTGTTAGCCCAGAAGGGAGATCTGCACATGAATAAAATGCTACTCTTCATTGATGTCTGGTATCTCCTACTTGGAATTGCAAACATCCTAAGAGCAGCGTCTTTGATCTCAGTTCATCTGACTTCTGATGGCTTTGGCTTTGGCCGACTGTCCCTGTTCCCTCAGTCGACTTTCCCCTTGGGAAACAGATGGTGACTTACAGCCATGGGAAGAGGGGAGGCTGTGGCCTGTAGTCTCCTCCAGTCTGGTGGCAGATTACGACTATGGTCTGTGGCGACTACTCTGAGGGATCAGAGTACTTGGGGCTTCTGCTTGGGGTGGTAGTAAAGCTGCACTTTGCCCTTCTTCCCCACACACATCTTTTTGAATTTTGCTTTACCTCAGTGTCCTGAGATGAAAAGTCTATATGTTCAGTTGTGGCCCACTTACTACATATATCATTTTCCTGGAATCCCCTACCGCATTAGCTAAAGGGGAGAGGCCCTAGCCTCAGACTTTGTTCACCTAAATCTGTATCTATGCATCTAGGAGCTTTTTTATTTTTCTTCTTATTTATTTATTTATTTTTAAGATGGAGTTTTGTCCCTGTTGCCCAGGCTGGAGTGCAATGGCATGATCTCCTGACTCTCCACAACCTCCACCTCCCAGGTACAAGTGATTCCCACCTCAGCCTCCCAAGTAGCTGGGATTACAGGCATGCGCCTCCATGCCTGGCTCATTTTGTATTTTCAATAGAGACGGGGGTTTCTCCATGTTGGTCAGGCCGGTCTCGAACTCCCGACCTCAGGTGATCTGCCCGCCTTGGCCTCCCAGAGTGCTGGGATTATAGGCATGAGCCCCTGCGTCCAGTGTCTAGGAGCTGTTTACATAGTTGGGCTGATTTCTGGTTGGGCTTGTTTTAAAAAACGACTTCTAGCTCCTAAGTGCTATGATGTTAATAATAGTTTGTATTTCTCTCTTTATTAATCAGGAAGAATGATAGCAGCAGACACTTACTTAGTGTTATCACATTGGCAGGAGTGTCCTTGTTGGTATTTGTAGGACAGATAGACATCTGGCCGGGCTTTCCACTTCTGCATCCTTCCAGGTCATTCATTCAACAGATATTTATTGAGTACTTCCATGAGCCAGGTACTGTGCTAAGTGCTTTATAAACATTTCACTTACACTTACCAAGTACAGTTTGCCCTTCATATCTTCGAGTTTCACATCGAGGATTCAACCAGCCATAGATTGGAAATATTTGGGGGTGGCTGGGCATAGTGGCTCACGCCTGTAATCCCAGCACTTTGGGAAGCCGAGGCAGGCAGAGCACCTGAGATCAGGAGTGAGACTCCATCTCAAAAACAAACAAAGTGTTTATGTAGCATTTACTTTGTGTATTAAGTATTGTAAGTAATCTAGAAATGATTTAAAGTACATGGGAGGTCATGTGTAGGTTATATGCAAACACTGCCATTTTATATCAGATTTGAGCATCCATGGATTTTGGTATCTGAAGGGACGACTGGAATCACTCCCTCCGCAGATACAGGGATTAACTGTATAGTTACAAAATTATAAAGGATTAGAGCTGGAAGGGATCTCAGCATTTAATCCCATTCCCTCACTGAATGTGAACACAAGGATATTGAGTCCCAGCAGGGTTGAATGATTTGTCTGAGGTTGGCCGGGCGTGGTGGCTCACGCCTGTAATCCTAGCACTTTGGGAGGCCGAGGTGGGTGGATCACCTGAGGTCAGGAGTTCAAGACCACCCTGGTCATCATGGTGAAACCCCATCTTAAAAAAAAAAAAAAAAAAAAAGATTTGTCTGAGGTTACAGAACTGCTTAGGGACAGAATTGAACCCTAAGGAATTGGGTAAATCTAGTCCTTGAGGCAGGCATTTCCTGTAGAGCTTAAGAATTTAGCACATGGTTGAGAGTAATATGAAAAGTGGAGAACAGAAAGATTTTTTTTTTAAGAGTAGAAGAGGTGTGAGATAGCATATAATATGAATTTATTACAAATGAGGAATGCATTGGATTTGCATGCTATTGCTACAAAAAGTATTTAGGCAAATAGGGAACTCTTCATTATCTGTAGAAAGGGAACAACAGCGGTGTGGATGTCCAAAAGCCACCTAGATTTGTTGTGGAGTAATCTGTTTTGTCCCTCTCTTCACATTTGATTGTGTGTATCTGCTATTTTAAAAACTCATGCTACAAATCAAATCATGGTTCCAAACAATAGGAGTGGAAGTTTGAGCTTTTTTTTTTTTTTTTTTTTCTCTTGAGATGGAGGCTTGTTCTTCTGGCCAGGCTGGAGTACACTGGTACGATCTCGGCTCACTGCAACTTCCACCTCCTGGGTTCAAACAGTTCTCCTGCCTCAGCCTCCTGAGTAGCTAGGATTACAGGCATGTGCCACCATGCCCAGCTAATTTTTTGTATTTTCAGTAGAGATGGGGTTTTACCGTGTTGGTCAGGCTGGTTGCAAACTCCTGACCCCAAGTGATCTGCCTCCCAAAGTGTTGGGATGACAGGTATGAGCCACCACGCCTGGCCTTTTTTTCTCTTTTCTACACTCCCCTTAATTCTTTTAGCTTCTTAGGGGGTGATAGGAACGGACAGTTTCTTAATACTGGTGCCGAGTGTAGGTCCCTACTGAAGTGTCTTCTCTTTCTCTATAAGCCTTGTCTGCTTAGTTTCTTTTCATCTTAGGGCTTACAGGGCTTGTGCAAGGAGGTAATTAAGTGTTTTCTTTGGAAGGTCTTTTGTGGAGATGAGCCTGGGTGCAAGGATAGTACAGTGCTCCAGTTACTGAATTGAAACCCTCCATGCATTGGAGCAGCCTCCTCCAGTTTCTGTTGGGTTTTAAGCTACCTGTTAAATAAGTCAGCGGGGTTGTCAAGGACAAAGCAGCTCTCCCTGGCTGCCTCAGGGCAAAATTAGATAATTTCTTTTCTGGTAATAATAGTCTTTTATCTGCAGAATTGATGAAACTGTCATCAAAAGATCTGTTAGTGCATCTGTGTCCTCTGTTCTGGTCATTGTCCAGGCAGCTGATCTCTTCCCATGGCTGCTGGATGAGGTAGAAACTGCATAGAGGACACGGAGGCACTGGCACAGGTGCCATGGAAGCAGTGAACTGGGAAGTCTGGTTGGGCAGCTAGGCGCTAAGGCAGCAGCTGCAGAGAAGTTTTGTGAGTGTCTAATTAGACTGGGGCAGTGGAGTCCATCAGAGAGGTCAGGCTCCAAGGCCTTCATGAACCAACCTGGAGGTACCCTCCTATGGCTCGTGACTCCTTCCTATGGTATTCTGCTCGGAATACTTGGAGTTGTCTTGGCTACCATGTCCTTGGGGTGGGGCTGGGAGTAGAATTGGAGACAAAGCATCTTCTGTCATGCAAGGGGTAGCTGGCTGTCCTGACAGGAGACAGGGAATCTCATGCTACAAGGTTGAGTCCGCTAGCTATGACGTCAGCCCAGAGGGAGTAGGAAGGAGTATCTTTTGCCAAGACTTAAATAGCACCAAGGAATATCTCGGTGCAGGATCCACATTCTGTGCCCTAACTCCTCCACTGGCTGTTTGGTGAGGAGCAATCGTTTGGAGGGAGGTTGATACTCCAGGGCAGTCAGGAAGCCCCTGGTAATCTGTGCTATGGTGGCCATGTCCGAGACACAGTGGGCAGCTTTGTCCATGTTGGCCACACTCCACCCAAAGGTCTGCCTACACAGACAACTCCTAAGATTGCTTTGGCTTGGAGTGGCCTTTCTCACCCCTTTACTGTGGCCTGTTGCTTTAGGTGTGCATCACCTTGGATTTACTGTGCACCCATGTGGTGTAATATAAATACGATTTCTGCAGGTTCAGAACCATCAGTCTCTACCCTCTTAA